TTGGCCAAGATTTATGATGAAATACTATTTATTTGCAAACTTTTATAAGAAAAACACTTTCTGGACTTTTTAATTTACATAGCAAAAAAAAAAAAAATCCCAGTGGTAAATAAATACCACCAAAATAAAGCTTTATCTGTCTCAAAAAAAAATGCTAAAAAATTCATATGGGTACAGTGTTGCATGACCGCGCAATTGTCATTCAAAGTGTGATAGCACTGAAAGCTGAAAATTGGCCTGGACAGGAAGGGGGTAAAAGTGTCCGGACTGGAAGTGGTTAAAATTGTTAGTTGCCTGGCTGTCATGTTGAATTGCTCAGTCTGACTGGCTCAAAATCAGTAAATCCTCAATTCAGATCTGTCCCCTGAGTTACCCAGTTACTATCAGCCTAGCCTCTCCCATGTTGTTCATCAGGGATAGATGTTGTCCCTGGCCTGTTACACAACATGGGAGAGGCCAAGCTGATAGTCACAACCCGCATGTCAGAGACATTGACTATACTGTTTTTGTCTATGTAGACTATAACTAGCTATAAATGTCATGAATTTCAGCCGTCTCTGGTGAATCCACCAAAATTGCAGCCTTGAGTGACCCTGCTGACACCACCCGGCTGAACTAACTTTGACTGAAGGACTTAACTTTGAATTGAAGGAGTCAGGGAGAGGAATTTGAGCCATTCACTTGTAATCACTGTTCGTGTATTCTCAATGTGACACTGTGAGAGATTTTTGTTGAATGTGAATGGGGGAATTTATGGATTTCTCTTCTCTGAGTTCAACTCAGCCCAGAGAATGTGTATGGCCAGCTTATTTAAAGTGTTACTAAACCCACAGCAGTAAAATCAGTCTGTATATGCAGTAATGCATGCTTGGTATACTCACTGTGGAATATAAGAGGTTAATCCCTGCTTTTTTTAAAAAAAGATGTTTGATCCTGACTTTTCTGATCCTCCTCTTCTTCCGGTGTCCCTCTTTTATTTCCTGATAAGGCATATCATATGGAGTCAGTCTGCACATGCTCAGGTTGGTGTGCATTGCTACAGAGGTTTTTTTTCCTTGGGAGAGCACGTGATCAGCAGAGGGCCAATCAGCACTGTCCAGACAGAGGTCAGGGATCCTGCCTCTTCCTAAAGCAAAATGAAAACTCCTCCTACAAGCCTTAACATGTGCTCTGCTGAACACTGATAGAAGTTACAAGACTGCTCTAACTGCTGACGAGAAAAGGTATTTACAGTTCCTTGAAAAAGTATTCATACCCCTTGAAATTTTCCACACTTTGTCATGTTACAACCTAAAACGAAAATGTATTTTATTGGGATTTTATCTGATAGACCAATACAAAGTGGCATATAATTGTGAAGTGGAAGGAAAATTATAAATGGTTTTCAAAGTTTTTTACCAATATCTGAAAAGTGTGGCATGCATTTATATTCAGCCCCCTTTACTCTGATACCCCTAACTACAATCTAGTGGAACCAATTGCCTTCAGAAGTCACTAATTAGTAAACCTAGTCCAGCTGTGTGTAATTTCATCTCAGTATAAATACAACTGTTCTGTGAAGCCCTCAGAGGTTTGTTAGAGATCATTAGTGAACAAACCACACCATGAAGGCCAAGGAACACACCAGACAGGTCAGGGATAAAGTTGTGAAGAAACTTAAAGCAGGGCTAGGTTATAAAAAAAAAAAAAAATATCCTAAGCTTTGAACATCTAACGGAGCACTGTTCAATCCATCATCCGAAAATGGAAAGAGTATGGCACAACTGCTAACCTACTAGGACATGGCCATCCACCTAAACTGACAGGCCGAGCAAGGAGAGCATTAATCAGAGAAGCAGTTAAGAGGCCCATGGTAACTCTGGAGGAGCTGCAAAGTTCCATAGCTCAGGTGGGAGAATCTGTCCACAGGACAACTATTAGTTGTGCATTCCACAAATCTGGCCTTTATGGAAGAGTGGCAAGAAGAAAGCCATTGTTGAAAGAAAGTCATAAGAAGTCCCATTTGCAGTTTGTGTGAAACCATGTGGGGGACACAGCAAACGTGGAAGAAGGTGCTCTGGTCAGATGAGACCAAAATTAAACTTTTTGGCCTAAAAGCAAAACGCTATGTGAGGCGGAAAACTAACACTGCACATCCCTCTGAACATTCCATCTACACCGTGAAACATGGTGGTGGCAGCATCATGTTGTGGGGATGCTTTTCTTCAGCATGGACAGGGAATCTGGTCAGAGTTGATGAAAAGATGCATGGAGCCAAATACAGGGCAATCTTAGAAGAAATCCTGTTAGTCTGCAAAAGACTTGAGACGGGGCGGAAGTTCACCTTCCAGCAGAACAACAACCCTAAACATGCAGCCAGAGCTACAATGGAATGGTTCAGATCAAAGCATATTCATGTGTTAGAATGGACCAGTCAAAGTCCAGACCTAAATCCAACTGAGAATCTGTGGCAGGACTTGAAAATTGCTGTTCACAGACGCTCTCCATCCAATCTGACAGAACTTGAGCTATTCTGCAAAGAAGAATGGGCAAAAATTTCTAGATGTGCAAAGCTGGTAGAGACATTCCCAAAAGACTTGCAGCTGTAATTGCAGTGAAAGGTGGTTCTACAAAGTATTGAATACAAATGTACGCCACACTTTTCAGATTTTTTTTTTTTGTAAAAAATATTGAAAACCATTTATCATTTTTCTACCACTTCACAATTATGTGCCACTTTGTGTTGGTCTATCACATAAAATCCCAATAAATTACATTTACGTTTTTTTTGTTGTAACATGACAAAGTGTGGACAATTTAAAGGGGTATGAATACTTTTTCAAGGCGCTGTAGCATTTTATATTTACTAAAATAATTGCATTTTCATGTTCTATGTACTGTGGGAGACCAGATATAGTGAATGCAGGGTCCAGGGTTTAGTAAAACTTTAATGAAGGCGTTGCATTCATCTACACAGGGTCTAGGGTCTCTTGGATCAAGGAATTGCAATATCTGAGTTTCTGCAATGGTAATGTGTTTGCAGGACTTGGAAAGATTGTTTTCTGAAATTTGAGATTAATCTGTCTGAGATACAAGTAAAAAAAGTTCCTAAAAATGATGACACCCTTTTAAAAAGGCAAATACAGGCGAAACTCAAAAAATTAGAATATTATGCAAAAGTTCATTTATTTCAGTAATGCAACTTAAAAGGTGAAACTAATATATGAGACTCATTACACACAAAGCAAGATAGTTCAAGCCATGATTTGTCATAATTGTGATGATTATGGCTTACAGCTCATGAAAACCCCAAATCCACAATCTCAGAAAATTAGAATATTACATGCAATCAATAAAACAAGGATTGTACATAGAACAATATCGGACCTCTGAAAAGTATAAGCATGCATATGTACCCAGTACTTGGTTTGGGCCCCTTTTGCAGCAATTACTGCCTCAATGCGGCGTGGCATGGAAGCTATGAGCCTGTGGCACCGCTGAGGTGTTATGGAAGACCAGGATGCTTCAATAGCGGCCTTCAGCTCTTCTGCATTGTTCGGTCCCATGTCTCTCATCTTTCTCTTGGCAATGCCCCATAGATTCTCTATGGGCTTCAGGTCAGGCGAGTTTGCTGGCCAATCAAGCACAGTAATCCCACAGTCATTGAACCAGGTTTTGGTGCTTTTGGCAGTGTGGACAGGTGCCAAATCCTGCTGGAAAATGAAGTCGGCATCACCATAAAGCTCGTCTGCGGAAGGAAGCATGAAGTGCTCCAAAATCTCCTGGTAGACGGCTGCGTTGACCCTGGACTTAATGAAGCACAGTGGACCAACACCAGCAGATGACATGGCTCCCCAAATCAACAGACTGTGGAAACTTCACACTGGACTTCAAGCATCTTGCAGTGTGTGCCTCTCCATTCTTCCTCCATACTCTGGGTCCTTGGTTTCCAAATGAGATCCAAAAGTTGCTCTCATCAGAAAAGAGGACTTTGGACCACTGAGCAACATACCAGATCTGTTTTTCTTTAGCCCAGGTAAGACGCTTCTGACGTTGTTTGTTATTCAGGAGCGGCTTGTTTTCTTCCACACTTTTCCCTTCCACATAACTATCTATTAATGTGCTTTGATACAGCACTTTGGGAACTTCCAACTTCTTTTGCAATTACCTTTTGAGGCTTTCCCTCCTTATGGAGGGTGTCAATGATGGTTTTCTGCACAACTGTCAGGTCAGCAGTCTTTCCCATGATTGTGATTCCTACTGAACCAGAGATCATTTAAAGGCTCAGGAACCCTTTGCAGGTGTTATGGCTTAATTAGCTGATTAGAGTGGGACACTTTGAGCCTAGAATATTGCACCTTTTCACAATATTCTAATTTTCTGAAATTGTGGATTTGGGCTTTTCATGAGCTGTAAGCCATAATCATCACAATTATGACAAATCACGGCTTGAACTATCTTGCTTTGCATGTAATGAGTCTATCTCATATATTAGTTTCACCTATTAAGTTGCATTACTGAAATAAATTACCGTATTTTTCGCTCCATAAGACGCACTTTTTTCCCCCCAAAAAAGGGGGGAAAATGTCAGTGCGTCTTATGGAGCGAATATAAAGAGGCTGGTCCGGTATTTTTGCGGCCACCATGTCAGAATACCGGGCCGACCGCTCAGCTGTTGTCTCCTGCAGGGCCTTACCTGTTCCTCGCTCCAACGCTGCACAGTCTTCCCACGCTGGCTTCTGTGACAGCCGGGTGCCCACTGCGCATGTGCTGCGCTTTGTGAATGATCCGGTGTCTTCTGGGACACATGACAGGTCCCAGAAGGCGCCGGGTCATTCACAAAGCGCAGCGCTTCTCGCACATGCGCAGTGGGCACCCGGCTGTCACAGAAGCCGGCCCGGGAAGAAGAGGGAAGGACAACTCCGCGGACGTGGGAGCGGGTACCTGTCAAATTCAGGTACCCGCTCCCCCTCCCCAAAGGTCAGCAGTCTCTGGTCATTCCCTTCACTATCTGCAGTCTTTGGTCACTCCCTGCACTGTCTGCAGTCTCTGGTCATTCCCTGCACTGTCTGCAGTCTCTGGTCATTCCCTGCACTGTCTGCAGTCTCTGGTCATTCCCTGCACTGTCTGCAGTCTCTGGTCATTCCCTGCACTGTCTGTAGTCTCTGGTCATTCCCTGCAGTGTCCGCAGTCTCTGGTCATTCCCTGTACTGTGTCCGCAGTCTCTGGTCATCTCCTGCACTGTGTCCGCAGTCTCTGGTCATCTCCTGCACTGTGTCCGCAGTCTCTGGTCATCTCCTGCACTGTGTCCGCAGTCTCTGGTCATCTCCTGCACTGTGTCCGCAGTCTCTGGTCATCTCCTGCACTGTGTCCGCAGTCTCTGGTCATCTCCTGCACTGTGTCCGCAGTCTCTGGTCATCTCCTGCACTGTGTCCGCAGTCTCTGGTCATCTCCTGCACTGTGTCCGCAGTCTCTGGTCATCTCCTGCACTGTGTCCGCAGTCTCTGGTCATCTCCTGCACTGTGTCCGCAGTCTCTGGTCATCTCCTGCACTGTGTCCGCAGTCTCTGGTCATCTCCTGCACTGTGTCCGCAGTCTCTGGTCATCTCCTGCACTGTGTCCGCAGTCTCTGGTCATCTCCTGCACTGTGTCTGCAGTCCATTGGTTCAGAATATTTTTTTTTTCTTGTTTTTCACCTCTAAAACCTAGGTGCGTTTTATGGTCAGGTGCGTCTTTTGGAGCGAAAAATACGGTAACTTTTGCACGATATCCTAATTTTTTGAGTTCCACCTGTAGAAGTGGATAGTTTTCCCAATAAGGCTAAGAGAGCAGTTGAACAAGGGGGCCTTCTCCAAGTGCCCTCAGGCAATGGAGGGAGGGGTTCACTAGAAGTGGCTCTGGCAAGTAGCTTCTAGATTTCTGCCATACGGACTGACTCGTAAAAATAGTGGTTTACCAGTGGTGTTGGGGGCCTCCCATAGACACGATATTGCCATGTCTTGCAACTGAACATGACTGGATGTGGTGGCTGCGCTTGCATTTCTGTGGATGTTTATGGGTACCTTAGCCAAAGCTTACAGAAATTGATGACAAATATAAACTATACGTTTTATGAAAAAACAAATCGCTATCAGCGATGAAAAACCCTGTGCCGTTTGGTCTATTAAAATCTAGTTATCCATGTTGGGTACCGCCATCTTGGCTCTCGCATAGCATGGGGAAGGTAAGCCAGACTATCAATTTCAACCCACATGTCAAAAACATCACTGCTCTTTCTGTGATGATGCCCATATTGGAGAAAAATATATTTGAAATATATTTTAAAAATATTCTTTCCAAATATATTGCCATATATTTGAAATGCTAAAATTTTGGCCATATTCAATATATTTCAAAATATATTTCAATACATATATACTGCATGTTTAAATGCGTAAAAATACATTTCAAATATACTGTATGTCTTTAACCACTTCCCGACCGGCTGTTGCATATAAAAGGCCGGACGGTGGCACTGCAGGGTCGGGTGGCTGTTTATAAATGGCCTTCTCGCACCCTGCTTGTGCACGCTCCCTGGGAGCGCGCAGCACCGTGATCCGGTGCCCGCTGTGTCCTCCGGACACAGTGAAACACCGATCGTCGGACGGGACCTCTGTACGAGGTCCCGATCATGTGATCACTGATTGGCCAATCAGTGATCACATGCAAAGTAGTAAGCAAGATGTCACTTGTGACATCATTGCTTACTACGTGTGAAATCTGTGAATGATCACAGAGGTCACATGGTACAAGGCTATTCACAACAGCCTTGTACCATGTGACAAGCTGTGACCAATCGCAGCTCACTCAGTACGTCTCAATGAGTGCAAGAATGCAGACAGAGAGAAAGAGAAATGATTGCTTTTACATCCTATATGGGTGTAAAAGCAATCAGTGTAAAAAAAAAAAAAAAAAAAAAAAAAAATCTTCATCACCCCCCACAAGTAGTACAGTGTCACCATGGTGATACTGTACTGCTAGGGTGACAGTATGTAAAAAATAAAAATAAAAAAATAATAATATAAAAAAAATAAAATAATGTAGAAAAAATTTTTTTAAAAATTATAATTTTTGGTTATAAACTAATTTGGATTTTTTTTTTTACTAAAAAGATAACGGAATAAATTTTGGCAAAGATTTATGATGAAATATTATTTATTTGCAAAATTTAAAAAAAAACACACTTTTTTTCAAAAATTTTTGACTTTTTCATTTACATAGCAAAAAAAATAAAAACCCCAGCGGTGAATAAATACCACCAAAATAAAGCTTTATCTGTCTCAAAAAAATGGTAAAAAATTCAATTGGGTACAGTGTTGCATGACCGCACAATTGTCATTCAAAGTATGATAGCGCTGAAAGCTGAAAATTGCCCTGGTCAGGAAGGGGGTAAAAGTGTCCGGTCTGGAAGTGGTTAAATATACAAATTACATTTTTTGAGTGCATGTACAAATATATGTAAAAATGACTTTTTTATATGTTAAAAAAATCTAAAGAATATATTTAAAAATTATATTTTTATAAATATATTTTTTTGAAATATATTAGATTTTCTTTTAACATATGAAAAAGTCATTTTAACATTTTTTTTTACATATATTTGTAAATGAAGGTGTATGTGTGTGTGTTTGTGTGACTAAAGCGCAGGTAGTGTGAACTGGCCCTAAATGCTGCACAATGGTTATTTTCTTGAGGAAAGACAATGCTTGTTCCTTTTTGTATGGAGAAAAGCAGAAAGATAATTGGTAGCAGAAAGTTTTGCAAGCAATGCCACTGCATTTTAATTGTAGGCCGAGGTGGCGGTGTGCTGCCTGATTATTGCAGGTGAGGCCTGAATCTGGAAATGGGACACTGTATGAGCTCCCTAAATGACGTGTGATATTTGAAGATCTCCCCTGGGCATGCTCTAATTTATCACACTTCTTCTCTCTGTGATTGATTGTGCAATCAGAAATTTCCCATGGGGTACATACACACGGCTGTATGAATACCTGGCAACTAGTATGCAGGATCCTTCTGGAAGGAAGATTCTGAGATAAAATGTGCTCTGTACATGTGTAACTTTTGAGCAGCATTTACATGTGTACAGTGTTAATACATCCCATTGGGTATTGATTATTGCCACCTAGCAACCTCCATTGTTAGGACGCAGATTGCTCATGTAGTCCAAAAAAGAAAATTTAGGCCTCATTCTCAATGGGCAAAAAAAAAAAAGCTCCTTTTTAGAATAGAAGAGGAGCAGTTAAAGGGTGAAAAATAAACCACCACCACTGCGTTCAGGAAAGGAGCTGAAAAAAAAACGCTTGACACGTATAATGGCTAGATACATTTAGCGCTTGAGCGTTCATTTCGTCCAGTAGCCAGAATAAATTCATAGCGTGTTAAACGTGTGTGCAATACATGGTTTTGGGTGCGTTTTTTTTTTTTAAGTTTTCTTCTGCCATGAGTAAAAGGCATTAAGAGGAGAAATTCAAACGTCCTGTGCAAATAAGGCCCTACACTGTACACATGTAGTTGTTAGCACAAACATTTACGTGTGTACAGGATAAGTTATGGATCATACATAGAATCTCGGTTGGCCCTGCGTGCTGTACAAGAGTAATTTATCGATTTGCCCCCATCATGCTAAGCAGTGTGGATGGGTGAATCTGTCCTGCCAATTATTGCATTCTGAAATCTGGCACCTGCAGCTGTCCGGATGCGCTATAATTGGCTGCCCGTTCACATTGCGCATTACTGCTTGTGATTTGTCACATGGGGTAGCCCATACACTTGAGTAGGCTGCCCTATGCACATTTGGACCAGGGACCGAATTCTGACCCTGATCCAGATGTGTTTTTTCACATGCATTTTACCACGCAACAATCATTGCAAAATCACACCACGTTTGAGGGGCCATTAAAATTGAATGGCACCCAAATGCACATTGCATGTTTTGCCACGATTTCAGTGCGATTTGGAAACGCAGGCAGAATCGTGTGGATTTTGCTCATGATTCAAAATCGCTAAACGTGAACAGGGCCTTATGCCAACAATTTTCAGATCGAAGGATGTCGGGTGCCAACAGGACTGCTGGGGACTCTAATTTCAGCCGGTTCATCAAGAGCTGGCTAAACTTTGCTGTGTGCATGGCTAGCCTCTGCCATGTGTGTGTTTTTCAGACATGCAACAGAAATGGCAGATCCTTGACTACAGCATCACACTCGCCACCTCTGGAATAAACTGCAAATGCCTCCTACATGACCACATCATTGCACACGGAAGGGGAGAATTTTTTTTTTCTTTGATATCTTGATAGTAAGGCTTAGTTTGCACCTGCAGTTGGAGGGTGGTAAGAACACATGGTTGAGATGTGGTTTTACTGCTCCACCTAAGTCGCAAAGGCAGCTGTACAGGGGTATACTCGTGAGGCCACAACATGGCAAAAACTATCCCCGCTGTCGAATCTTCCAGACAGTAACAGCTGCCAAACTTAACCCATTCAGGCAAATGGGTCTGCATTTTATCTGCCCCACAGTCGCGCGCAATGCATGCCGTTGTGGCATGGTGGTGATGGCTTTTTTTAAGGAAATATATTCCCTCCTCCCTACCTGTCAAATGCCCACTGAAAAACACACCACAGCATATCGCTCTTCAGAGTGCTCAATGAGCCCTTCAATTACAGTGTTAGGTTATTTTACATGAGCAGAATAAAAGAAGTACACTTCAATGAAAAAGGCACGCTTCACCAAGTCCTTTACAAATGGCTTTCCCAATTACTTGGGTGAATTAATTCTGGGCAATGAATCACTTTCTAACAGGTGAACGCCCTTACTTTGACTTTTCTGGTTCTATGTTCTCTCTTATCTGAGTCAGCAGTGGTTTATTTCAGTCCTCTGTTCACCAAATAACCGTATTCTAGAGGTCACTGGATTGGGTTTTTAGCGAGATCTTTAAATAGACTGCCATGTTTAGTGCTCAGCACATTGAAGCCATGTGACATGCTTCTATTTAAATTCCGTTACATATGCTTGGCTGACTTTTCTACATTTTGACATCAGTGTCATTTGCATTATTATTCATATGCTTTAAAGTATCACTAAACTCAGCACACCCCTCCCCAAAAAATATATGTATCACACCGCAATTCTTCAACCCGTACCATCTGTTCATCTTATAACTGCAGCCTTGGAGAGCACATCAAGATATTAATATTGTACAGGATTTCTAGTGTCATCATGTCACACATTGCTTTACAATCTAAAGTTCCAATACAATTCAATGCAAGAGGATTAGGAGGGCCCTGCTCATTGGAGCTTACAATCTAACAGTAAGGGGCAAGTCATAACACAGGTAATAACTGTGGAGGAATGAGTTGATAGACAAAGTAAAGGTTCACTTGTTGGGTAGAGGCAGGATAGGCTTCCCTGAAGGCATGAGTTTTCAGGGATCACCTAAGGATCACATGGGTGACTAGCGCAGCTGCAAATGACAGCGGCATGAATCTCCTGTTTCTGCTGCCATTGAGCCCTCTACACTTCGATGACAGGTCAGCGGCTGCAGCTATCTGTGGCTGCCTGCCTGCCCAGCCTACTGCAGGTAGCTGCAGCCACTGACCCGCCATAGAAATGCTCAAAGTTCAGCGGCCGCAGGTAGCCACGTTTAGGTGGAAGTAATAGCTGAGATAATCGGCAGATTCCTATCACCATCATTTGCACTGACACTAGTCATCCATGTAAATGTAGGCTTTACATGGACAGGGTAAAAGATAACTGAACAGATTGTAGTAGAGAGTTCCAATGGATGGGAGAGGCTCTGGAGAAGTCTAGGATGACAGCACAGAAGGAGGCAATGAGAGATATACAGTATCCATTTATTATTATTATTATTATTATTATACAGGACTTATATAGCGCCGACAGTTTGCTCATAAACTGTCTTAATGCAACTTCCATCGCAGATCGCAAAAGCTGCCGCATGTATGATGGAACCCTAAGCCAATTAGTCTGTTGCCTTCTCACCACCCATTTTAACCCTGCAAACGCTGTCCTACTTTGCCATGGTCATGCAATGGTGGTGTCCCTCCATTTACTTGAATGAGTCATATATGACAGCTGTACTAGCCACCAAATGTGATGTCGGTTATTTTTTGCTGTAGCAAAAAGCAAAGTATCTGTGCTGTGGCGTAGCAAAGTATCTGTGCTGTGGCATGTGTACAGTTCTGAGCAACTGCATGCCCTTGTTTAGGTGGGCAATTGGGGCAGTATAACGAAGGCTCAGCTGCCTGCTTTTACCGCCCCCTGGCCACCTGTGTAAACGAGCCCTAATACATTGCCTGGTGCTGTTCATCTAGCACTGAGAGTGTTGTAAGCGGTGCAAAGAGCAGAGTGCAGTGGTTACCAAAATAAATAGTTACTCTCTCCTGGGGCACAGACAGCAGTAAATGTGTAAGGGGTCCTAACCCCTCACCATTCTATAATCAACATAAAAACATGGTTTTTGCTTTGGATGTACTTTTAATCACAATTTATATTCTAGAGAAAATTGAAAAGTGAAGGCTTGTGAACTGCTATGTAAACATTGAAACCTACTTAAGTACTCATTCATTTCTCCTGATAAAGCCACGCGACCGATGGTGTAACGCGTAGGGGAGGGGCTCTGACATCATGACGCTCGATGGGACCATACTGACACCAGTAGGTTTTTCCCCATAAGAAAAGATCTGGAGGACACATTTGTGAACAAAGTGGTTTTATATACAGACCATATGTGAGTGCATTACTTTTATGAATAAAATGTTTTCTTAAAGGATAATACCCTACGATTTGATGCACTCCTCTATATTAACCACCGTGGAAGGGAAGATTATTATTTGAGTGGAGAAGGACCCCAAACAGCAAGATATCATCTCATCCATACTTTGGCCCATTTAAAGGGACACAAGCATTATATGACCTTACTTAACGGTTTGGTCATATACTTGAGGTGAGAGCACAACCGGTGGGGGAGCACGTCCATGAAAGTTTTTTTGCACAAAACATTTTATTTCAGAAGCACAGGTTTTAAAGTGAACTATGCAAGTTTCAAGAAATCTTATTATGGACTTTCCTGATAATTCTATGGACACTGTTATTGGAAATTGACACTGGTTTAATATATATATATTTTATTTATTTTGATTCACTTTCATCTTTATTCATTTTTTCATATTCCATTTAATTGTTTATTTATGGTGGTATGCAATATAAGTAATAGCAGTTGGATGTATAATTTTAAGTGAAGCATGGCACATTTAGATATATTACTAATATTCTACAGGTACCTTCTTACCTAAATTCTCTTATAACAGCCTCATCACAGCATTGTGTTTTGACTTCATAGCCATCTTGTGTCTAATTTAATTTAGGAAAAGCAAAGAAGTATGGAAGTCGATGTTTCCAAGTTTGACATTGATGCCCCAAGATGGGATCAGAATACATTCATTGGTCGCTTGAAGCACTTCTTCAATATTACAGACCCCAGGACAGTGGTTGTGTCTGAACAAGAGCTGGACAAAGCTAAGCTGCTTGTTGAGGCTTGCAGGTAATTTCAAAGAACTATTTATTTCTCTCTAGCATTCTATAACATTGGGAATACAATAGATCAGCCTCTACCAGGGTTCCTTATGAGGTTGCTAGGAGTTGAGCAATGAGCAGTGGTGACTAGACCTACCTCTACTAACCACAAGGGCAAGGGGGGAATTTCTACACTGGCCACTAATGTTAGGGAACCCCACAATTTTTACTGCCTGCATCCTTTTCTGTTATTCTTTTTACTCATTTAAGTTTAAGATTACTACTTGAAATGTTGTTGTGCAGTAGGGTGCAGCGCACATGGGGTTTTCCTGTGCTTGAGGGACATATGACAGACATTTATCAAGAGCTCTAACTATGCCCACCTTTTTTGCCCCCCCTCCTCCATTCATAGCAGTTATACTACAACTTTCACCAATGAAAAGCTCTAATTGAAATAAGGAGGCAGACCTTTCATTCATCCACCCATCCTCCATTCATAGATTTTTGTTGTTTTTTAATTCATGGAGGCTATAGTGTGGGTTTTATGAATAAAAGCAGGGAACAAAAACCACAAGAAAAAAAACAGCAAACTTGATGGGAACCTGTAACAGCTCCAGCACTGGTTGACCCCCACTGCATTGGAACATTATGGGTGGGGAAGAGGGGGGGTGACCACGGTCTACAATTTGGTGTTCATACTAATGTACCGTGAACTGGATTCCTCTGGGGTAAAAGAGTTCATAAGCATTGCATTAGATGAATTGTGTGGTTTTTTTATTATTTTTTAACTGCTTGCCTGCTGGGCAAATTCTGACATTCCTCATCTACATGTAAAAATCTGCATTTTTTGCTAGAAAATTACTTATAACACCCGAACATTTTATATTTTTAAGAGGAGACCCTAGAGAAGAAGATTGTGGGTGTTGCATTTTTTTTTTCATGACATTTCATGTCACACAGTATTTGCGCAGCAGTAGCTTTACCTTTCATTTTTTATGATAATTATATTCACATTGGTTTTTGTATGGGAGGAGATATATCTTTAATTAGGAAGCATTTATACACTTATAATTATTTTTTTGCAAAGGGGGAGGTGTACCATAGCACTTCCCTGACACTAGATATTTAGATTCTCACAGGGGGTGTGGTAACACTTCTTCATGAGTTGGATGTAGTGAGGTAGCACTGAATTTGTTTTTATTTTTACACTGTACCTTCATTTTTTTTTTTTAATCACTTTTATTGCTATCACAATGAATGAACAGCATCCCTTGTGATAGCATGGGCCATGACAGGTCCTCTTTACAGAGATCTTGTGTCTACCCACATAAAAGAGGCCTTACAGTTGACCTAAAGTGAAGAACTGAGTTCTAGGTCTAGGTCGACTTAACCCCCATACCATCTGTAAAACCTAAAAAGAGCACCCAAATACTTACCTGTCACTCAAAATCAATGGGCAGGCATTGATTGGCAGCTGGGGCACACAAAGCCAGATAGTCTCTCAAATGCAACTTAAGACCGGACATAGTAGGCATTTAGGAGTCTGTGGGAACCCAGAATGAGACCTCTTCATGTCTGAAAGGTAAGTATTTGGGTTCCTTGTTCCTGTTTTACAGCATCCCCCATGTAATGAAGATGAGGAGAAGGTTGGTAGCTTTAAAATTCATAGAAGATAGAGGTGTATAGAATAAAAGTGCACCATCACACTTTTAGCGTTCTACCCTGCCCCTCCACAGCGGATGAGGGTGTTTACATGCCGAAGTCATGGTGCTTCACGCCTGCAGAAAAAAACTATCCACCACACGGAAAGGTTTCTTCACAGTGAGAGCTGTGAAAATGTGGAATAAACTCCCTCAAGAGTAGGTTCTGGCAAGCTCAGTGGATTGCTTCAAAAAAGGCCTGGATTGTTTCTTAGATACACAGAATATAACTGGATACTAACATTTATAGGTAAAGTTGATCCAGGGAATATCCGATTGCCTTTCGAGAGATCAGGAAGAAATTTTTTTCCCAGCAGGAGCAAATTGGATCATGCTTTGCTGGGTTTTTTTTGCCTTCCTCTGGATCAACTGTGGGTGTAGGATTATAACTTTTTTTTTTTCTATGGTTGAACTGGATGGACTTTTGTCTTTTTTCAGCCAGACTAACTATGTAACTATATATATAAATACCACTTCCTTAAATACAACAAGTGACAAGTTCAAAGATTCAACTAAAACAAAATTCAACTAAAACAAAATCTTAAATCCCCATAACACAAATAGCACCTTCACCCTTGATGATGTGAAACAATAATATAAAAAATGTGCCAAAATTTATACCATTCACCCCATAAAATACCTATATTTGCTATAAGTGTTCAAAATATATAAAAAAAAGTCCAAAAAAATAAATATAAATCCAAAATTATGAAAAAATAATAAAATATATAATTCCAAAATTATATAAAATATACAGATGAAAATAAAAGTCCTTCCAATCCTTTCTCACGATGATAAAACCTCAAAAAGAAGGAGATATCACATAGTGTATTATCTTTTTAATACAACATAATATTCGTGACAACACTCTAGTGATTATCTAAATAGGAATATAATTTTTCCTTTTGGTAATTAGTGTAAGAAGTGAATCAAGTGAACAAACATAAATTCAAAAAAATAGTGCAAAACACTGTGTATTGTGAATCACTTTACAGTGCTCCAAAATAAATCCACACCGTGCCACTTCTATTATAGTAAGGAATGCATACCCTTACCAACACTCCTCAATAAATCTGCTTTTCAATATTTTATATGGATGGGACCCTCCTGTAGTACTTCCCCAGATTTCACTGCATATAAGGCACTATATGGGCAGGATACTCCATGTCTCCATATCATAGGCACCATATAAGTAAAAACATATGAGGGACAAATAGTGTAATACCGCCAAAGTAATATCCAAAAAGACACTTTAATTAAGCTGCTCACATTGTTATAATTTCAAAATCGCTTTTAAATACCATCGTAGTGCCGAGCTACCATCCAGGAAACCTCCAGGGACCAACACACACAGTCTTTTTCCCTTTTCCAAAATGGCCGCCGGTCGACTTCCGGTTCCTGTATGCGTCTTGACGTCACAGCCCTTGACGCGTTTCGTCATCGACTTAATCATAAGGGATTTTTTTTTTTTTTTTTAAATCAGTGAGGGTGCAGTTAATATTTTTTTTGCAAAAGGTTGAATTACCCTAAGGGCTAGTTCACACTAGATGCAGTCCAGTGCATTTTTTTTTTTTCTGCATCAAAAATGCATGCACAGTGTTTTCCATGAATTCCAATGGCCCTAGTTCACAGCAGTGCAGCCAGTTTCTGGTGCAGAAAAAAAGTAGAACATGCTGCATTTTTTTTTCTGCACAGAACCATACTGAAACATAGCAAACTGAATCAAGACTGCACTTGAACAGAGCGTGGTGTGAACTGTAAGCAAAAATGTATCCTGAGTGCGTTTTTGTGGTGTGAACTGGCCCTTAAAGTGATTTTAAAGTGTTACTAAACCCACACCAGTAAAATCAGTCTGTATATGCAGTAAAGCATGCTTGTTAAACGTACTGTGGAACCTAAGGGGTTAATCCTCTGCATTGTGTAAAAAGGATGTTTGATCCTCTCTTCACTGATCCTCCCCTTCTTCTACTCAATATATCTCATGAAAGAACAGAGGCTTGAGGGCGAGCTGCACATGCTCAGTTTGGTGTGTATCGCTAGAGATTTTTTTTTTTTTTCTTCGAAGAGTGCATGTGATCAGCACAGGGCCAATCAGCACTGTCCAGACACAGAGTCAGGGGTCCTTCAGCCTCATAGAGGAGAATGAAAACTCCTCCTACCAGCTTTAACCAGTGCTCTGCTGGACCCTGATAGAAGTTACAAGATTGCTATATACTGCTGATGAGAAAAGGTATTTAACAGTTTATATTTACTAAAATAATTGAATTTCTGTGTACTGTGGGAGACCCAGATACAGTGAATGCAGGGTCCTGGGTTTAGTAACACTTTTTAAAGGCTTGTTAAAAAAAAAAAAAAAAAAAAAACAGCAAACATGTTATACTTACCTACTCTATGCAATGGTTTTGCACAGAGCATCCCCAATCCTCCTCTTCTCGTGTTCCCTGCCAGTGCTCCTGGCCTCTTCCCCCTGCTGAGGGCCCCCAGGCCAAGCTGCTTGCTCTGGGAGCACTCATTGCTCCTGAGCCCCACTTTGTGTGTCTATAAGACAGAGTGCAGGTCAGCCCTGCCCCCCACTCTCTCCACACTGACTGTGATTGACAGCAGAGAGACCCGAAAGAGCCGAGGCTACCATGCACATCGCTAGATCGAGATAGAGCTCAAGTAGGGGGGAGCAACACACAGAAGGTTTTTCACCTTCATGCGTGTATCTCAGCCAATGAGTAGAGAGAGACCCAGAAGAGCCGAGGCTACCATGCACATCTCCAGATCAAGCTCAAGTATTGGGGGGCTGTAGGGGGGAGCAACACACAGAAGGTTTTTCACCTTCATGCATGTATCTCAGCCAATGAGTACAGCGAGACCCAGAAGAGCTGAGGCTACCATGCACATCGCTGGATCGAGATCGAGCTCAAGTAAGTATTGGGAGGCTGTAGGGGGGAGCAACACACAGAAGGTTTTTCACCTTCATGCATGTATCTCAGCCAATGAGTAGAGAGAGACCCGGAAGAGCCGAGGCTACCATGCACATCGCTGGATCAACATAGAACTCAAGTAAGTATTGGGGGGGCTGTAGGGTGGAGCAACACACAGAAGGTTTTTCACCTTCATGCATGTATCTCAGCCAATGAGTAGAGAGAGACCCAGAAGAGCCAAGGCTACCATGCACATTGCTGGATCGAGATAGAGCTCAAGTAAGTATTGGGGGGCTGTAGGGGGGAGCAACACACAGAAGATTTTTCACCTTCATGCATGAAGGTAAAAAAAACCTTCAGTCTTTACAAGCACTTTAATCTATTGGCTACATATTATTTTTGCAGTATGCAGCACA